TAACTATGGTTTTATAATCCTCTTATAGCCAACACTGAGATGAGATTTGGTGGGTTGATAAGTACGTCGAACTTGGTTAAAGGGGAGAAAATCACAGTCGAATCTGATTCAGATCTTCTCTGGACTATATCGATCAAGAAGCAAGAATCGACAAAACATTAGGCGGTAGCGAAGACACTTTGCTATTTTCTTTAGTGCCATTCTACTACGATATTCTTGATGCATCCCATTACTTCAAGTCTTCAACAATATTGTCACTTTATATTCGAATACTTGAGATTATTTTCATTGGTGTTGTTCATTGATTTGTTGTCGTACTCTTGAACTGAAAATGTTACCGGATGTGTTGGTACTAGACTACTAGTAATTAAATCAAATGAAAAATTTTATGATTATTCAATGGATGATTCTTTTTGTATCATTGAAATATTATTTAAAAAGAAAACAAAATAAAGATGCAGTTTGCAATAGAAAATAATAAATCGGACGATCAAATAAAATAAAAACAGAAACATACATAAAATCTGCTCAATTTCATACAAAAGTAAGATTTTGAGTAGTTAAACAAGGATGAGGAAAGTTCATAGAGTGACAGAAACAGAATACAAAACCTTATAGCGATCTAAGAAAGGATCAACGGTTAAGACAGCATGAGACCGCTCAATGTTGCCCCTAATATTGCCTTCTTGACATCTCTCCAAAGAAATCTCTGCAAACCAAATCTGCAAACTATCCCCCACGACCTCGTCCCAAAAGAGCACAATGTTCCCACCAGAGGTACTCAGTCTAGCCCCAGGAAGCAAATCTGCCAACTCACGGATGCCACCAAACTTGATATTACATACCTCCCACATATTCAAAAGCTGCTCACCAAAGTGGACAAGTCTAGAACGAGAGAGCTTCCCATTGAGACCCTTCAAACCCTTGACCTCTTTCCACCAATACATACCCTCTGGTTCACGCCAATCTAACTCTTGTTGCTCACACCAAAATATTTTCCCATCTTTACTACAAGAAAATATCAAATCATCAATCACACACCAATCCCTCCTACTTCCACACACTTCACCACGATTCCCTATTCCCCATTTACCTTCACTCGGCGAGTAGTAGAACGTTCTATCTGTTCCATCAACTGCGTAAACCTTATCATCCCTCACCACACAGTCGTGAATACTCTGATAACGTTTCTTCCGATCTTGCATCTGAGGCAAACAATTCCAAGTTTGAGTCTTTGGATCGAAAACCTCACCATAGCTCAAGGAGTAATCATCGAACTTGCAACCTCCTAACACGTAAATCTTGCCGCTGCTCTAGATCGAGCCACTCCCATGGAAGTGACTCGACGCCACGTGTGAGTCCGACAATCCAAGAGAAATACATCGGAGGTGGGATTTCCCTTTATCAATCCACCGATTACATAGATCCCCCAATCCACCGCCACCACGGAAGATCCTTCCGGAGGTTGACAAGGGAACGAAGGGATCGGGATCAGATCGGAGGAGGTTTTCCTACGGCGGAGGATAAACCAGCGTGGATGTGGGTCTTGAGTGGTGGTTCGTAAGCATACGTAGATGTATGTTTCGGTGCGACCCATGAGCGATCGGATCTTGTAGAGCTCAGGGGAAGCCACTAGAGAGCGATAACTCTTGGAGAGAAGAGACAAAGCCGCGTGCTCTATTCTCGAGACTTGAGCCAGGCACATTAAAGCCACATCATCTGGCAACCTTGGTACCGGAGAAGACGACGGAGACGGCTCCTCCTCTTTCCTCTTCTTACACGGTGGCTCTTCAAAATTCGACATCGAA